CCTTGATTGCCCTTCTCAGCTAAATATGTTAAGAAATCCATATGAATTTGCATAATGGACCAACTAGCTGTAAAATTCCATGAGAGAAAGAATTGTGTCTACCCTGTTCACAGCTACAAGTTCTGCATCTGGCATGTAGCGTTACTTAATAAATAACTGTTGAACTAATGAATAGACGCATAGTTGATATTTTTCTTATTTCTATTAATGAATCATTCTCAAAGACAGATTTCAATATTCTTATTGAGATTTATATTTTATTTCCTTGTTCTTCATTGTTACGAGACCTTCACAATTAAGAAATTTAAAATGATGAAATTGATTCGTAGTCTTTAAAATATATTGTCAACATATTCTCACTTGTATAAGATCTGAACGTGTTTTCTTACTAACATTTTTTGAGAAAGGTTCACTATGTTAGGCAGATTGTCTCATTTACTAGTAAGCTTTCAAAACTCTAGTTCTAGTATATTCAAATTCCTCATTTCCCTTCAACTTCGTGACCACCATTATCAGCATACTCTATTTTTCACTGCTCTTATGTTTTTGCCTCAAGCTTTAACTGATTATATTCTTTGATTTCCTTACTCTGGTGTAGATAGGTTCCTTTTTAACTAAAGATCTTAAAAGCGACATTAGCTGCTTTTTGTTCCTTGGGTTTTTTTTTCTCCCCCTTCAGGATAATTATATTCTGTTGTGCCTTTTATTATCGTGTCTTTTAGGATCTTCTAACCTTGTACACTCTTCGGCTCTATTTAATAGTGAGCTTTCTCCTCCACTCTCCACACTAAACCATGCTCATTAGGTTTCTTAATCCTCCATAATTTGCTTTCATGAAATCTTATACCTTTCAGTTGCTGTGTTCTATGAGCCCATTTCCTTAGTACAGCTATTCCAAGAAGCCCATAATCAACAAGCACTAAACATAAGTTTATTCACTTTCTAGTCCAACATGACTGGAGTTGGCTCAGGGGGGAAAAAATCATTATTTTGAATGTTTATGGACCATGAAACTATACAATTTAACTTGGTATTTAATTTTTGCACCCAAACATTGCCTGAGAAGGTTGAGACCACAGAATTAGATGCCAGGCAGTTCTTAACATACAGTTATAGGTTTCAGTTTTTCTTAGTCAGTAAACTAATCTATTTTAATAGAACAGAAATAACAATATCCTGATGTTATGTAATGACTAGTAAATTCCAACTACATCTCTATCTTATATCCAGAATTCAGAAGAGAAAAACGTCTTTTTTCAGTTATTCTGATTTTCTAAATGGGCTGGTTTTAAAAGACACGTGCATGTGACTACACAGCAAGCTCTGGCCTTTCAACAGTGCAACCTCTGCTTTCTCTTCCACTCTACTCATCAATAGCATCTTTGCCGATGGGTATATACAGAAGGGCCAAGAAAGCACATATTTTGGTTTTTGTTTTTCACTTCCTAGAAGTTTTGTTTAAATTTTTAAAAATAAATAAATAAAACAAAACAAAACAAAAAACTTGTTAGTGAATTGAAAGAGTTAATGAAGTTTCCAAAGGTGCTTAGCTTATTCAAGCAAAGTTTACACTTCGACCCTGTGCAAGTTAACTTGTGATCCTCCCCATCCAGATGATAGAAAGCAAAGCCAGTAAGTTCTTTATTTAATTGGTTTGCATCCACACAGTGACCTCCAGGGCTCTGTTTACATAGCCTATCATGCAATATGCTCCACAGTTCTCTGCCTCTTTCAAAAGCATGTTTCTCCTGAGATTTGATATATGGCTTTCATGTTTAATCACTACATTAAACTCAATGCTCTGCTTCCTCCAGCATCAACTAACTTCCCTTCTTGGGAGGTGGGGAGAAGAGCACAGCTTCTTGCTACTTCTGAACATAAAAGGAAGTCTGTTTTAACTCTATTAGTAAAATCAATTATACACAATTTTAGGTAAGCAACATTAATATATCAACTAGGAAACAGTGTTAAAATGGAAACCTTCAAACTTCTTTAGAAAGAAGGTAGGCTGATTGTTCTCAACAGGCAAAGCTAAAAACTTTAGGTGACTGAGTTATACTAACCCAAAGACACAGAGTTTAATCAATATATAACTCAGTACATAGAAGATGCAGCTAGATGGCAGCTGAAGTTTTAAACAAATTAACCGAAGATAGAACATTCCTTGGGTTCTCAGGTCAGAATTAATTCAGCGCTTCTGCCTTTTGGTTAAAGTTTTTTAACCACCACAAACACAACTTTCAAGGTCTCGCTAACTGAATGTGGGCACAGTAATGCCACAATACTTTCCGTAAGAATTTGTATGTGACCCAAAATTCTGAGATAAATGAAAACCTCAAAAACTCAAGTGACCTCTTTCAGTAAGTCAAGACGATCTGTAATTTTCAGGTTTTAAAAAATCACATGAAATGTATTTTACTTTAAAATATTTCAAACAAAAAAAGAAAAGTAAAACAAATATGGAAAATTAGATAATATATGTAGGTGCTCATTATCCTATCCCTCTACTTTTATATACAGTTGAAATTTTTCATTATAAAAAATTTTTCAAACTAAAAGAACACAAAGAAGTTGTCTATGGATTTGCTTTTGAAGAAAAAACTGACATAGTTTTGATAAGAAAAAATCTAAACCACTTTCTAGGTTTTGTTATATATTCAACAACTAACATTTTTTGCCATGTGCTGACAATGAAAACTTTCTTTCCTTCCTCCTGAATCTTACTCCACAGTTTGAAGCTCATTTATACAAACTGCAAATGTGCAGTAAGCTCTGCATAAGTCAGATTGTTTACTTGAAAAGAAAATTTTATAAATTATATATAAAATTTCACTTTGAAATACTTTCCTTTATGGCTAGTATTTATTTTTTAAGGGGCTTTTCTCCTTGGTAAGACTGGTATCTTCCTTCATTAAAAAAAATCTTACTTTGTCAGAACACTGTTACAGCACTATACAACATTAAACAGAGTTAGTTTACTTTCTGTATGTGATGAACAATAGAGAAAGTGAACCTATTAAAGTCATACATTTAATTGTTCCAATATGCTACCTTATATCTAACCAAAATTTGCATGATATAGAATGCCAAAGAATACATTTCTAGCTTTCTTTGTCATGATTTCCTCATTTGATAGACAGCTAAGAGTTTATTTTAAAAAATAATAATAATTATCTATTTCTTGACTTGAAACCATCTAGATTCTTTCCACAACATATTTAAATTTAAAATTAAAAGAATAAACTTTTAATCAATATCACCATAAGATTTTTCATAGCACAGAACTATATAGTTTTCAAAGACTTGCAGATGTTGTCCATGATAGATATTTTAAAAAATTATGATTTGGAAAAAAATAAAAATCATGAACAAAATCTTTGGTCACAAGAGTGAAAGATGTGTGTCTGTACAGATGTTATAACTATTTTCATAATAAATACTAACCTTCACTACAGGAATTTAGCAGCACACTTTAATTTGGATTTGAAAATTTAACATAAATTTTCTGACTTTGACAATAGCTGCCTAATATTTCAGTTTTGTACGCTATTTCCAGGTTTTACCTTCAAAATGAACCTAGTGGACTTTTTCATTTTTAAAAGCTATATTCCAGACCCTGTATCCTAAAACCAGTTTCTGACTTGATGTTTAGGGAATTAAATCAGACCATAACACAGGAGGCTCTTAGTTAATATCTGGTGACTGACTGGCAATGATGAAAAGATATCCAATCTTTACATAAAAATTCATTCTCCATCAATTTAATTCATTTATTTTTTATTATACTTAAAGATTTTAACTTAAAAAATGACAAAGATTTTTCACCCAATTTTGAGTCACCTCCCATGAATCAAGAAAAAAGTCAAATAGTTGATACAATGCCACCATGCCTTTAAGCTTCGTATAATCAATACTGCAAACTAGAAATGTTTATCTTATACTATCACTGTCACACGTGATTCAGAAGTGCAAGAACACACAGAATGAAAATATTTGTGAAATCAGTTCACAAGTTAGGTGAAATTGTTAATTAAAATGTATAGGTTTCATATTTAAAGAGTCTCACTAAGTTGGAGAAATTCATAAATCTATACAAAAAGAAGGATGAAGCTTTTCAAGAAAAGCATGTTGTGGTTCCTTTGCAAACATAATAAACAAAAACTTTTTTTAAATTAAAACATAATGGAATGCAAACCAGAGTAAAAATATTACTTTTAAATTCAATCAGTTATATATTTTTCTGTAAATTATTTTCTCCTGTAATTAAAAGTTATTTATCTATTAACAGTTCCCGAAAGAGCATAATTCCTTTGTACTGTGTATGAGGCAATTTTTGTGCTTTAATTGTCAACACCATCAGAAACTCTGAAGCTAATAAATCTCAGCAAGTGACATAGAGACACAGTCAAACATAAGGATTATGTGGCTACATTAATGCTTAATGAGAAGACATCTAATGAGGCTGATATGCCTCTGTTCGTGAGAATGTAAATTTTGTCTTGATGGATACAAAATATTGGCTTGAGGTGACCTTATTTCCATTACCCCCAACAAAACAAATAAAAAATAACTAAGTCACAGACAAATATCTATTTCATTGGCTAAAACTCTTCATAGTTTGCGGATTAAATGTATCTATTATCCACATTTGATGACAAGTCACTTGCAGAGAATCTTCAAATTATTCAGGAAGCTTTGTCCACTGAGAGAATAATATTCTTTCAGCAATGATTATGTACAACCCCCACCTCTGCTTTTAAAATAAAACTGCAGATAGAAAGCATTTAATGCTTATTGCAGAAGTATCAAGAATCCCAGAGTGAACATCTCAAGTTATGCTTCCAAGCAGCTAATAGCCCTGCTTTGAGGTGGGGTTCATGTTTTGAAAAGAGACTGCCTCGTCTGTTTAAAATCAAAATGGTTCTTGATCTGATGAATTACTCCTCAGAGAATAATGTAAATAAAATATACTCAGAATAACATTATTAATGTAAACATACCTGAACCAGAGTCAAATTTGGTTTCTGACCTGCAAAGGGAAAGACATTTTTTTACAATATAAAAATTGCTTGTTAAAGAATAACTTATTTTACGAGTGGGAGGATTGCAATAGCTATAGATTTCAGTACATCGGTCAACAAGTAAAATAGCTTTTTAAAATGCAAATATATAATTACTTGAACCATTTTTAATGAATGCATTACTACCCTAAGTCCCCTAAACATGCACGTATCCACAGAGATAGCACAATATGGAAAAGATATTAATTTTTTAGCTTGTTTTTGAAAAAGGGTAAATTATGTAAAAATACACACACATACACACCCAATCTCTACAGATTAGCTTATTTCAGTAATGTAATAAAGCAATAAAAAAATTAAATTTAAAACTATCCTTTTTACTTATTATTAAAGATTTTCAATTATTTGATGCCAAGTAATTTTTCACTAAGTTCTTCACAGAGTAAATGAACCTAGTAACCCCATACATTTAATAAGTAGGAGAAAAAAAACCTGAGCCCTTGTGGGAACATTATGTTTCAGATATAGGTTAATACTGGTTGTAAATTCAGAAGCCTTTGAAGCTCTCAGTTTGGCTGTGGGAAAACTTCTGTTGGGTAATTACTCTCAAGATGCTGCTGATGTGCTGTCAAGCAGAATTAACCCTAAGACGAGGCCTATCTACACAAGCTACTCTAAGACAGCATTGTCTATATCTAGCTCTCAAACCAATTAGTGAGCATGCTCCAGCCGGATTTATATCACACATAACAATCAATAGTATATATGTTCACAGCTGCCACCCCAAGATACAAGAACCGACCAGCAGGAGTCCTGTTAAAGGATGTTACATTGACAGAGAAGACCTTTTTTTTTTTCCTGGGGAAATGTAGTTAACTAAGTGGGAAAGCAGATTTCTTTGAAATTATGCCAGGGTACCAAAGCACTTTTGGAAGTGGTAGCTTTCTTTACCTAAATTAGCTTCAAGAGAAGTCATCAAAGTGGGGCGAAGGGAAGGATAAGCAAGAAGCAGCTTCCTTTGTCATAAATTCTCATTTTCTCAAGTATTCTCAAATAAAGCTTCACCTGATGCTTAAACAAAATCAGTAATTTCAAAAACAAAAAAAGTACATTATTATAAGCATGGTTATCAATAACCATCACTGTAATCCAGGTCCACATTTTTCCCAAGCCCTAGGCACATCGCACTCGTCATCTCAATCCTCCTCTTAAAAGTACCTGACTGCCATTTCAGGAGACCATTTTCATTTTTTGTCCTCTTTCCTGTTCCGGAAAGTCTTGCCTCATGCCTATTCTTTGTTTCCAGCATCCCTGAGCATAACTCTAAATGACAATGACCACACATTGTCCTGGTTTACTTACCTATCTTATCTTTCCACTAGACTAGGCTGCATTAGCCTCTGTAGCTACATCAACCACAAAGTGTCTGCCGCTTTTACTCAACAAATGGCTGTTATGGGGAATTTCTGCCTCTGCACACATCCTTATCTCCTTCTTACCTGTATAAGAGGTATTCTTCCTTCTGCTTAAAGTTCCCTCTACTTATGCCCTAAAATGCATTCTCTCATCTCCCCTGGAACCAGGCTGCATGAGTCACTCCTTCACTCTGCTGTATCTTCAGTATCTGAATCTCTACAGGTTTCTCCTCTCTTCTACATAAAAGTGGTCCAGACACAAATAAAAGCCCTCCTTTGAATCTATACCATGCTCTTGTTCTCTCTCTTTCTTCTTGGCTTTATAACCAAGTTTATTGAAAGAATAGAGACTATATACTATATTGTCTTCCTTTTCTGACCTACCAACACATACACTCTTTGAACCACTATGATCTGTCCTTGCTAAGGTTTTTCAGTGGCTTCCTAGTGCTAAATACAAAAGCCCTGTTATAGTCTCTACTAAACCTCTCTCCAATTAATACTTAATATTACCTGAATATCATACTACAACCTCAAATGCCACATGTACTAAGCTGAATTCATTTTCTTTTCCTTCAAATATAATTTTCCTGCTCTTTTCCCTATCATTTAAGTTGGAAATCATTATATTATTCTAGTTTTCTTCTATTCCTCCCATTTCTAATTAGTCACCAAGACTTAATTCTACTACATTCCTCCCCTTTCCATCCTCGTTTTTACCATCTTGAGGCTTATCTTTGACTCAATAATTTCATACCCAGTATCCCCTCTCCCTTTCATTTCATCATTAAAGCTGCCAGATGTTTCCAAAACACTCATCTGATCTTATTACCAGCACCCGAACAACTAGAGCTGAGTTTTCCAAACTTGAGCCACAAGTTGAGCCATTAATGAATTATGTAATCAATTCAGTAGTTTACAACCAATATTTTTTTAAAACTGAAATAAAACAGAAAACAAGACAGAATGCACTTCACATATTAAGAACATGTACATTTTTGTAAATCTTTTAGGTACATGTACATGCATTTGTGTGTGTGTGCGTGAGCCTGTTCACACGTGAGTACTAGGCAATACCATCCTTAGAAGTGAGCAAAAAGCCTCTGCTCTGGCCTTCCACTGGCTGCAGCCTCCTCTCCACCAAGCGAGGAGTCCCCTTTTCTTTCTGAAGTTCCAAGTACCAAGTACCAGCATTCTCTCCCCTAATGGCCCTGAGCTGGCTTTCTCAGCCTACGTGGGCCTTTCCTTCCGACTGAGTTGTGTTACTTCTGCATGTGTATGTCCAGCCCAAGGGCTGGCCAAAGGCTATAAATTGAAGGAAGGAGCTTGGACCTGAGGACAGAAGGAAGTGAGAACAAAGTGGGCATGGCAGTATGCTTTCCCTTCTCTTCTGTGTTCCTGCTCAGAGAATTCTTAATTAAAACCTTCTTGTGAGCGTGTGAAGTTGAGAGCACTGAGGAGCCAGAGGTTGCCCCTTGAACTAGACTGATGTGGTCTAGATGGCCTTGAAATTCCAGTGCCTGGCTGGTGGGGACAGGGAACAGGCAATGGGTAGAACAGAGCCTCTGGCAGAAACGAGAGAGCCCTTCCCCCAACAAAGAAGAAAAGAAAGTGTTTCTCGTATGGATTCCATAATCCACTTGGCCTAATTATTATTGTCTCTGCATTTCCCCAGGGTAAATAACAGCATTTTAGTGGAAGTCAAAACTAAATTTGTAATATTCTCAATTATTCGGTATCAATGGTTTTATACGCAGTCTTCACTGTTTTTGTTATAAGGTATATTTGTTAAGGTAGGTTGGTATCCTTTTTTAACCGTTTACTGCCTTCATTTATAACTTTAAAAATAATTATCTGTATTGTACTCTTGCCCAGGCCTTGCAAATAGGAGGGCCAGGCCTCGTAATAAGTCATCATGTGAAAAAAAGCATGTTTTACTATGGGCAATACTAGCGACCTAGGGACAACAAGTTCACACTCCTGTGCAAGCTGTATGAGGGGCCCACCCTGATCCAGCTCCCCAACTCCATCTCTAATCCACACTGTATCTTTCGCTCTCACCAAACCAAACTATCGCCGTTTTATTTCACAGCCTGCATCCATCCAGTGTCCTTCCCACAGCTCATCACTGACAAACTTTTCCTTAACTATCAGGACTCACTCGCTTCAATCCCCTCAGTGCTCTGCCTATTCCCTTACCTCCCAGATCTCCTTGCTTGCCCCTCAGTTACTTTACACCGTGGGGCCTGGCATGGCACTCCCCACACTGTGAGGCACCAGAACTAAGCTCAGTGAGGTACAGACAGGGCGCCATTCATCTTCCTATCCCCAACACTTAGCACAGCACCTGGCATTTAAGACTTATTAAAAATTTGTAGTAAGAGCTAACACATGAACAAATGAATCTGTAATTAATAGGAGGCCAAAAACAAGTGACCAAAAACTTAATAAAATGCCTCTTTAGAGATATAAAAAAAATCATATTAGAAAATTTTTATTCCTCAAATCATCTTATCTTCTCCACAGATAGATGTTCAGTGCGTAAATATACACGGAAAGTACAGAGAAAACATCTTCATAAACAAATTAATGACCTTAGGTATCAGTTTAAAAACAAGAGTATTCAGAATTCTCACAGTACTAAACCTTCAAAAATACAACTACTCTATTAATAAAACATAACAACAGAAGTTAATACTGTCAGTTTGAGGAGTTGGGAAAATTGGTCCTATGGTATCAGTTAATTCAGGTTTCTATCAGATTTCACATAAACACACTTACATACATTAGGGACACAGAGTACTCCTCTATCATATTATGGACTCATCTCTATTCATAAATCCTCTTTAAGAAAGCAAGTAAAATACAGATAGGAACAAACAAATAGCAAACGTGAAAAAAGAATTCAAACAATACAGATTATACAAGAAATTATACAGAGTTCATTCCGAACATATTCTTACGTGTTTATTTTCAGTAGCATACTATGCTAGATGGGTAGGGATATAAATAATGCATAAAGTAAGGTTATACGAGGTAAAAGATGCATAAATATAATTGTGTCTCCACGGATACCATTTTAACCCTTGATTATATGCTTACTTTTAAGTTTAAAGTTATTCAACCAATTCCTTTGGCAATTGCCAAAAGATGGTAAATACAGTACAGACCATTACTGTCTTCCAATATCCATTCTGCCCTTTTTTATTTTAGAAATAGAATCTCTGAATTTTAAATGGGCACATGGCTGCCTATGTAAGACAATTATTCCCAGCTCTCCTGTAGTTACTTGTGACCATGTGACTAAGTTCTTACCAAAAGGATACAAGCAGAAGTGATATGTGTAACTTAAAGAATATGACTGTGCCCCTCCCTTTCTTCCTCTCTTCTACCCACTGGTTGGGATGTAGATGCAATGCCAGGAGCTGAAGCAGCCATTCTTAGATCACAAAAGAGAAGCTGATATTAGAGCAACAGCCTCTGGCCACCCCTTGGGCTGAAGGTGCACACACTCGTAGCACCATATCAATCCCGACTTTTACCACGTTTAAGCCATTATGATTTTGGAGTCTTGTCAGACCAGTTCTAACAAT